TGGTGCAGTGTTTAACTTCTCGTGCTCTGCTTCCCTGGCCCAGAGTTTGCTGGTTCAGATCCTGGGTGCAGACCTATGCACCACTCATCAAGCCATGCTATGGTGGCATTCCACATACAAAAATGGAGGAAGTTTGACAACAGATGTTAGCTCAGAGCCAATCTTCCTCACCAAAAAAAAACCCAAAACAAAACAACACTCGACAACCATCCCTCATACATAGGATGTGTTCCATAAATATTTATTTATTTTTTAAAGACATATTTTAAGTATATATTTATTTTCTTTGTCATTACACATTTTAATACCCAGTCTGGCCTTGTAATCCTAAGAACACAGGCTTTCAAATGTGAACTCAAACTTTTAAAAATCTAGATAGGCTTGCTTTTGTGGGGCTTAGGGTGTAAAAAGTCTTCCTGTTATTTCCAAACAGAAAGGCAAGGGGAATTTTTTCCTCTCTCAGCTTCTCCAGATAGTATAGTATTGTAACCTAGCACCTAAAAATGAGACCTGGTCAATTACTCATATAAGAGAAAAAGTATTTTTATCTTTATTTAACTGCTGATATCTATTCCCGCCTTTAAATGGTACTGACCTATTTGCTGTATTTGCAAAGGAATTCTATTATAACCTCAGAGAATTTACTGACAGCAGCAAGAGTATGTTTAGGCTATTTCACAAAACTGTTGCAAGCTCCTCAGTTGGGGAAAAAGCAGTTTGCAATGTTCTCTATTCTGCAGAAGAAAAGTTCCTCGTATTCTGTAAAGCAGCAGGATGGTATTGTTGGAGTCACTGTGCTTGGCGATATTTCCATAGCCATCATTTAAGGTTGGCTGACTCATAAGTATTGACACATTTAGGAGGACTGCTTACTAGTTTAAGTCAAGGCCCATCATGCAGGCTCTTGCCTTTGTCCTGTTGCTTATCATCAATTACCAAACTAATTTTCCCTTTTGAACAGCTACCTGCTTAACTACCTACAAATTAACGTGAAACTTAATTTGGAACCTTGAAATAATACCCTTCTTAGAGAATTTTAAGAGAAAAAAATGTTCATTTCTTAACAATGCTAGATCTTAGAATAATGTACTACAACCTTGCCACTCAATGTGCTGTCCACATACCAGCACTCCACATCACCCGGGAGCTGTGAGAAATGAAGAATGTCAGCCCCCACGCCAGACCTCTGATTCAGAATTTGCATTTTAACATTTTAAGATCCCAGAGTGAGTCAGGTATACATGAAAGACTGAGAAACACTGACTTAAAGAAATAGGGAAGGAGGGCTGGGATTCTGACACCTGGTGAACATTTTGTGTCACCAAGATGATGGTAATTAGGCATAACTGCAGTGTGTTCCAGAAACCTGTGGGATCGAATATGAAAATAACAAGAGGAACAACAGTGAAATTTAACAACAGTGCGTATTTGGTAAATTGTATTTGTTTTTATTTTAGGTATTATTTATACAGTTAGCTCAGTTTAGCTTTTTTGGGGGAGGGGTTGTTTTTGTTGTTAGTTGTAATGTCTGCTAAGAGCGTTCGTTGTTGCATCCTTCCGTGCATGAAGGAAGGAAAGAAACAATGAATACATGATAGTATTCCATTACTGGAAGGACTACTCTGAGTCAGGACTCAACAGATGTAAAGTCTTCTGGGAATGACCACATGGACCATTGTGTCTTTAGATCAGGGAGAGAGTTCCGTGGCTGGAAGTCCTACTTGATCATGGGAAGCCACCTCTTTAACAAGAAGGGGAGCTAGTCATTGGGATCTGAAATAGAAGAGTTCAATCTCTTGTTTGCAGGCAGTTAATATCATGTTCTCCCAAAATACTACTCAAAGATGACTTGCCTATTACAATCTGTGCTTTACTGGGCTTATATCAGCAGATGATTGTAGCAACTTTAAGGCAGTTTCTGAAGGCTATTGTCTCCTTTATGCCCCATTCCTATTGTACACAATATACCCCATGATGCCAGAACAAAGAGCCTTCCTAATTTAATCAATAATATCATTGCTCCTAAGAAGTTTTTCTCCCCCTGCATCAGAATTATTCTTCAGAGATTTTGTATTCACTGCTCAAAACCAACAATTCTCGATTATAGATATTCTTGACTGTAAAAGCTATTTTATTTTCTTAATTTGAGAGAAATATTTTCCATCCTGAAGGACATAAATCAGAAAATACTTCTGATGTTATGTTAGTCTTTACAACAGATAATGCTGTAAGCCAATATAAAATTATATTTCCCTTGGGGTAGCATAGGAAAAGAACAAAAATGAACAGAACCTAGTTCTCAAACCCATTAATGCAATGTACAATTATCATCTCATTTTACCAGCCATGGAATGGGTGGGTAATAATAGTAATGACTAAAAATATATAAATTAGCAATGTTTTAGTAATAGATTTTAGTCTGAACTTTCCTTAAGGCTATTTTTATTATATTCCTTGTCCATTCTTATTTTTCGTTAATTTTGGTGAAAATTTCCTGCTAAATGACTTCAAAGGTTATTTAAGCCTATCACAGTACTGAAACACGATTAATGTAAAAAGCAATGAGCCTTATTTCCCATAGACAGTTCAACCCTACTTACATTATCTAAAAGTCAAAGCATATTCTAGACAATTTTCCTAACCAGGGCTAACCATCCAGGTTGTGTTATACAGAGCCTTCGATCCTAAAATTCCTCTTTACTTGCATTTTCGTGGAGTTATTTCCAATCTATTTATTTCACTGTTTTGTCATAGATGAGAGAAGATAAAATAAATCTTGGGTCTTGTTAATATCTCTCATTAAAAGGGGAAACCAAGAAGAAGTCAATCAAGGTTTATTATTTTTCAGCGTTCCGTGGTTCCTATTTTCCCATCAAATCTCTAGCCCCATTGTGGAAAGGTAATGAGTATTTGAGTTGAATATATTTTTCAAAGGTTTATCTGTTGGGTGAATATTCTAAAAAATCAAGTAGGATCTACATGGTGCAGTGATTAAACAGACTGTATTATTCCATCATTAGGAGTTATTTCCAGTGGTACTGCAATTAAATTCAATCCTTTTTCTGAGCTTATGTATGAATTCAGTCAAACAACTGGTTATACAGAGCTTTTTTGTTGTGGTAGTTGTTTTGGTTAATGGCAACTTTCTTATTCATTTTTTTTTAGCTGAAAAGGTGTTTATAAATATAGTCAACAGAATTATACATTTTTTAAAATTCTGGAAAGTATAGTATCCTTTACAGAAGACCAACCACTGGCAAAGGTACTGTTGGCCTTTTCAGCTTTCTGAATCTTCTCCTATTTTATCCATTATCTTTGTGGTTACTTACAAGGTATCAAAACAAATGACTGAAAAGGAAAATATTATCATCATTTATCTACCTGATACAAACAACTTGTTTTTGTCTAGTTTATCCAGTTGCAATGGCATGGATTGGGTACAATTTGTATATGTGTGCATGTTACTACATTCTCCAGCATTTGTAAATAGCGTGTTTTGGGTTGCTTTGAGGTAGTGACATGGATGTGAAGAGAATATTATAAATGTCAGTCTATTAAAAATATCTGCCAAGTCATTTTTAAAAATGGATTTTCCTTTTCCAATACAACCACCAGAGACCTTATTTTAAGTAAGCTTTGTAATTGTGGGGACGTTACGACTATAAAGCACAGGAATTTAATAGTCACGTGTTTTATTTTAGTCCTAGTCAACAGATCATAAACATATTTATTTCTCCCCTGACGTAACCTAAAAACGAAGAAGAAAAATTCTTAAACCTTAGCATGTTAAAATAAAACAACACACCAGTAATGAAATGAAAAGACAATTGAATCTCCTGTACAGCTGTAGAGTGATAAATCCCCAAAGGTTTTAGTCTTTAAATTATTCAGACTGTCTAAATTTCTGCTGCCACAATATTTTTTCACAAGTGGTATAAAATGGCATTTTGCTCCCGTAGATCTAACTGTTCCCTGGGTGGTTGGTTCTAGAAAAGCAACAGGCTTTTTTCCCCCTGCCTTACAAGAAGCAACAGTTAGAAACTCAGGCTAGAAAACTGCTACCCTACAGCGGTTGGAAACAGGCAATAAACTGACAGCTATGATTTCAATCGTTTTTGCAACAGCCACAGAAAGGAAGGAGAAAAAAAGGAAATAAAAGAATGTTAACCCCTTGAAATGAAAGGATTGCGCTCTGCGCTCTGTTACTATCGCTTCCCCCACTTTCACCGTCCCTTTAATCATGAGGCTTTTTCGTCATGGGCATGCTTAAGTTTCTAGGGTAAAGCAAAGCAATAACTCGACCTATTCTGTTTCAAATGAAATTTGCGAGATTGTAGCAAGACACATTCATCAACCTCCATACAGGAACAATGCAAGCCTCCCCAGAAGCTGGCTCGAGCGCTTTCGTGTTAGCAAGCATGGACTGTTGTCTCAGCCTGTTGCTCCTGCCACACGGTGTGCTAGAGCCCAGAAAGAGGGAGGGGACATTCTGAAACCTCATCTGCGTGCTGAATACTTGGTGGCGGGAGCCTGGGTCAGTCCAAGCTCCCGGGCAAGGGGGCCGCGCCTGGCGAGGAGGCGGCTGCGGACCACCGTCCGAGGACCCTAGTGCAGGCTGTCCGGCCGCCGGCAGATGGTGCCCTCGGCAACCGATCACCGAAGGGAACCCTGCTAAAGTAACGCTCAGACTCCGCCCCACCCGATCCGCTGGTGCCACAATCACCCGTCCTTCCCCAAATAGTGCCGAGCACGTTTCCTCCGGAACACTGCAGTAGTCCGTGTGTGTGCGCGTTTGTGTGTGCATGTGTGTGTGTGTGTGTGTGTGTTGAAAATACAAACCAGGGGCAACAAAGTGTGTGTGCCTGAGTGGGGAGCGTACGCGGAGTGGGACTCCCGGGATCGGGGCTAGGTGACCGCCAATGAAAGGCAGAGGGCACGGGGACCGGTCCATTTCGCATCTGCGTAAGCCGGGCCGCCGGGCCCGGCGGGAGGCCACTCACCATGTTCACTTCGGAGACCATGTCTATGCTGGCGACATCGATCCGCATCCCGACATCCACGGGGGGCCCTGCCAGGGAGGTGGGACGCATTATAGGCATATTCTCAGAGTGGCGACAGGCTGGGGAGGGACGAGGGGCTTCCCTGCGCTTACTACAGTGTAAACCGGCTCCCTCCACCCCCCAACCCTTTTGCAGGGGACAGCCTGGGAAAACAGGTGTAGGCACACGGGTGATGCAGTGACTATGCAGAGGGTGTGTCGGGCCGGAGGAAGGTCGGCTCTGCCTGGGGGTTCATTCACCTGCGACTGGGTGTCCGGTGAGTGTGTGTGTGTGTGTGTGTGTGTGTGTGTCCAGGGCGTAGGGTGTAGCGCACGCTTACGAAAATGAAATGCTTTTTTTTTGTTTGTTTTTTTGACATTTATCTTTGACGGGAAAAGAGAACTAGATATGGGTTACAGGTTGAAAAAAGATGAAGCATTACCTCCAAAGTCCGGCCGCAAGCGAATGTCATATCCTTTGAGCAATCTGTCCACTGTCTCTTTCACGTATGACATGTTGCTGGGCTCATTGGCGCTGGAGGGAAGAAGTAGGGACCGTATTCAGAATGAGCACAAACTGCGAGCAGACATAAAAATAGACAGGCACACCTACCCCCAAATAACAAGCTACATGATCCAGCAAGCATGTAAAAAGAAAAACACCAAAAGAGACGTTCAACAGCAGCAGCTCACCTGTGTGCACAACAGACCATGGCAATCATCACAGGGAAAGAGAGAAGCCCCAAACTCTCTCGATTTTGTACTGTCCACATTACTAACTCTGATTAAAGAATTGTCTTTTCTGCGAAGATTCAAGGAATGCAACTTAGTCGGCGGCAGGGCAGTTAATTCCCGAATGGACCTGCGCATGCGCAGAGGGTGCTCACTACCAAAAGACACCTTGTGCCTTGCAAACAGTATTCCTAGTGGAACAGGCAACAGATTTCAATCCCTTTAAAGTTCCTGTTTGTGGTGCTCCGCGTCCTCCGGGTAGTCGGATATATCCTGCTGTTTTCTTGCTCGGGATCCTAGGTGCATGTGTATACGGAGCTTTCTTCCTGCACTGGAGGTTGCTATGTTCATTTCCTTTCTGCCCTCATCCTGATTTTTTACTCAACTCCCAGGGATCTGGCTAAGGCTGCCTATGATTGGCATCTTTCCTTGACAGTCACAGTGGTCCTAGAACTGGGAATCTGGAGGCGGGGAGGTTCTCTGGTGGCCAGTGTGTGTGTTGGTGTGATGGTGGGGGGAGACGTGAGGGGGCGAAGTGACTGGAGAGGGGGAACCAGAGAAGAAGGGAAGGGACAGAGGAAACGCAGGTCAGATTTGAGGACTGGAAGAATCAGGTCCCCTTGGGAGGCGTGTTAACACTTCTGGCTTAGTGTGGGAGGGGGAGAAGGGGCAGGTCAACTTTTTCACTCGCTCCCCCGCTTTTCTTCCCTCCGCTTTTGTGTCTCTCCAGACATGGGAGGTGAGGGAAGCAAGCGATGAGACAGCATCTCTGGGCAGGCAATCCTTTTTCTGGGGCCATCTGCCTCGAGTTTCACTGGGATTCTAGGTCCTAGTAAGGAAAACCTATTTCTTAAATTGCCAGCTTGTTAGCTTGTGTTAATAATTGAGAAGAGGATCCTGAAAACCCAGAGGTCTAACCTCTGTTTGCAGGTAGACTGGGGCTCTGCAGGAGGAAGAGTTGTTTGAATTAAATCAAATTCAGTCGATGCAATTCGATAAATGTCATTGAGCACATGTTGGGCGAAGGTCCTGGGCTAGGTGTTTGTTCACTCACTTAATAGTATATCTTAAATTTTTACTATGTTCTAGGCTTTCTGGGATTTAGAGATGACTTAAAGAGGGTTCCCAACCTAGGGAAATTCACAGACTAATTGGGGAGAGGGACACAAATATAAATAAATTCATTATATCACTAGATAGTTTATAAGCTGACAGGATGGTTGTTAATTCTACCAGGGAGAGGTAGATATGATTTCCAGAGAAGAAGAAAGCTTTTTGCCAGAGGATGGTAGGGAAGGGCATTCCAAGAGGAGGGAACAGCATGTGCCAAATTCTAGAGACTTGAAAGACTATGGTCTGCTTTGCTGGCTGAACCCTGAAATGTCTGAGCAGAAGGTAAAAGGAGGGAGGTAGGGATGGTGGGTGACGAGGGTGCAAAGGGAAACTGAGACCAGACTATAAGTAAAGCTACATACTCCACTATGCAGATTTAAGCTTCTGGAAATCACAGAAAAGTTTTAAATAGGAATGATCTGGGTTAGATTTAGGTTTTAGATGGAATGTTCCGGTACAGTCATTATGATAAGAACAATTAACACTTGTCACTTGCTGACTATTGGCTGTTTATTGTGCACATTACATAGATTATCTCATTTAAGCATTTTAACCATCCAAATGTGATAGATATTATTATTATTCTCCTTTTGCAGATGGTGATACTAAGAATAAATCAGGGTAATTTAACTAGTTTAATATCAAACAGCTAATAAAAGTTGGAATCAGTATTTCAATGCAGAATCTATGGACCTAACTACTCTGCACTATGAAGCATGGACCCCACGAGAAGGAACCAGAGACAGAGAAAAACAGTAAGAAGGAATAAGAGTTACTACAATAACCCAAGCAAAAGGAATTAAAGTCAGATAGTGTTCAGTAGGGAGAGAAGGTGATAGACTAGGGCAAGCTTTCAGAAGTACAATGGTGACATAAAATAGTTGGAAAGGTCAGGACTTGAAGATTTTGGAAGGTGTCTAAAAAATTGTACAAACGTTTATACATGTGTCAATCCTGACATTCCACCCATGCATAAATTTAATTTTCTCATTTGTGCCTCACAACCTTAAATACACGGGCCATTTCTTCTCGGGACAATGCTAACTCTTAATCAGGTTTCTTAATTTCCTTAAAAGTATGTCAATCTACCTCTTTTTAATTCATATGGATCTGCTTGTAATGGGCAAGAGAGAAGATCCCTTTATGCTTCAGGTCCTTGCTGAAGCATAGAACCTCTCTCTCTATGCCTCACAACTCTGCAAAAGCTGCACTGTAGAAAACGTGAATGCATGGAGGTTTACTTCATTCATTTATTCCTCAACTATTTATTGAACATTTACTAGGTGCCAGACACTATGCTAAAAGCTGGTGATTCAGTAGTGAAAAAGACAGCATACAGAGAGTCCCTTTCCACGTGGAATTTGTCAATTGATCCATCTGTTGGAGGTTGCAAATTATCAGCCTTGCTAGTCAAATTCAACTCACAAAAGAAGTATTTAGTTTGGCGTTCACAGTGTTTTAACTTATACAGCTTTTATTGGGATATATGGTTTCCAGTTGATCATAAACTGCAATAATTCTTTTTGAATAACAACTAGGATTTTATTTAGCAGTCTGCTAAAGAGCCACGATTTTATTCTAAAATTAAGGAAGAGTATTGGTGACTTTGTATACGTGAATCCTAAGGTTTAGCATGCCCCAGTTCAGGCCACTTTCACTGAATTTGGCTTTTAAATTATGCCTTCCACTCACATGGAAGGACACTACAGGAAGTCATAAGATATTCATTATTGCATCTATTATTGGTAAGCTATTGGGGATGGACACACTGTATCACTCAGTATCTTATGTGTTAGGATCTGTGGGAGAAAGTTTTTCCCAGACGCTGGTATTCTGAAAATTCTCTTATTTCCGGAATAGCTTGTATCTTATGGACAATAGAAATTCTAAAATTCATTAATTTCCCTGCTTTCTTTGGTCACTGGGAATCTCAGAATTATAGGTACAATTCAGCTTTAATCATTACGTAACATCTTAATGACCTACATTTTGATATATTGCATTTCTCTCTGATGCCTTAGAATTCTAAATTTAATTTTCCTTTGTCACACCTTGCTAATTTAAAAACAGATATGTTGCACTGAATATATATAGTGTGTAAGCTGTCTTGAATAATTTTTGGAACTAATTAGGGAATAAATGAATTCAAAATAATAAAAAGAAATAAGTATATAATTGAAAAATCTTAAGAATCGTCAGGTCCAGACACAGAGGAAATTTTTTTTATGACTTGAAAAAGGCAACACTTACTTCCTCTATGAAGTCCTCTTTATTAAGACCTTCTCCCCTTCAAAATTCAACTCAATTTCCATTTTTTCTTAAAGCTGGCCCTGAGAGTCATTGGCCATCCCTACTCCTATTATCAGTAGGAGAACAAAAGGAGGATCCTAAAAATTAGCATCCAACTAGAATGGAAGTGTCTCAAGATTAAGAAATCTTACACAGATTCTTAGTGAAGAAGCTTATTGGTGAGAATATACAGTAAACAGCTTTAAATTGTTACTTTGCATTGAGATCAAACTTGAAAAAGATGGTTTCATTTTTAAATTAGTCCTGTTTATTTATTTATTCTTGTAAATACTGAGCCCAGACAAATAATGTTCATACTAAAGCTATTTTTGATAAGCTATGTCAGAGACACTGCACAGATTTAATGTAGATGGTACACTTTAAGGGAAAGATTAACAGGGATTTGTGAAAAACAAAATAACAAATATTTTCATTCATAGTTTAAGAATATAACTAAAGTTCAACTCCATTCAGTCTTGCTTCAATCAAATTTATTAAGCATCTACTATGTGCCAAGCAAGTATGATACTCTGCAGTCTCAGTTAACCCATTATTTTCTGTCCTCAAGTTGGCTTAAAAAGTTAACGTGAATGGATATATTAGGTTGGAAATATGTGGAAAGAAAGATGATAATAATTGTTTGGAAGTACTATAAAGCAGCTTCCTTACCATAAGTTAGGAAGAAATACATGCCTACCCTAACTTTATCCTCCATTCCCCAGAAATTTATCTCAGGATAAAAAATCAAGCATATACTCAAATTAATGTTTCAAATTAGTGAATAAATAACAGATTTTCCAATAAATAATAGGAAAATTATTTCTCTGGAAAATAATAAATATAAGGATTTTCTTATACTTCTTGCTAAAATAAGTTTCAGTTGAGTTGAAGATTTAAATGTAAAAACTGAAACTGTAGGGGCTGGCCCCGTGGCCGAGTGGTTAAGTTCGCGCGCTCCGCTGCAGGCGGCCCAGTGTTTCGTTGGTTCGAATCCTGGGCGCGGACATGGCACTGCTCATCAGACCACGCTGAGGCAGCGTCCCACATACCACAACTAGAAGGACCCACAACGAAGAATACACAACTATGTACCAGGGGGCTTTGGGGAGAAAAAGGAAAAAATAAAATCTTTAAAAAAAAAAAAAAAACTGAAACTGTAGAAATAATAAATAGGTACACACAATATGCTCATCCAGCATCTAACAAATGCTCATTGAACTTCTTTTCTTTTTGACATATGCTGGCCAAAGCAGTAACATTAAAAGAAAATGTTGATAGATCAGAATACATAATTGTAAAGTCATTTTAAAAACATATACTTGAAAAGTAATTCATTGTGAAATTTAAGAGGCACTTCTATTAAAGTAGGACTATTCAACGTTGTACCAGAGGTGTGATATTTCAATGAGACAATAAAAAATAGAAAAAGAAGAAATTAACTTTCCTTATTTCTACATGTTAAGTTTGTTTAGAAAGAAAATCCAACGAAGTCTTCAAACATGTAAGAATATAATAAGAGAGTTAAGCAAGCTTACTGGATTCAAGATCAAATAACATTTAAATACTCATTAGCAGTATTGCTATACACGGTGGTTACCACAAGAAAACATAATAGGAAAACATTTCATTACAATAATAGCAAAAGCTCATATGCACCCAGGAATAACTGAAAAAAAAATGTGCAAGAGCTTTATAGAGAATCTATATAACATTATTAAAGGACGTAAAATAAGATCCAGATAAATGAAAATGTAACGCACATGTAGTTGGGAAGACTCAACATCATACAGAGGTCAATTCTATCCAGTGTAAGAAATATAATCAATTTGAATCAAAATTCCTACAGTTATAGTGG